GCCTAGCTGATGGCAATAGTAGCATGTCCGTGGGCCTCCCTCTTGTGTGCCCATAGAATTCCTCCCACCTTGGGAAGATTGACTATGGCCTTGGCCTTGGCCCTGATAACCTCGGCCCTGTCCTTGTGATCCCTATGGGGTAGAAATCCTCTATCTCTTCCCCGAGCTAGTAGTGGAGGATTGTCCCTCTTTCTTCCTATCCTTTGATCCTGCCTCCCAAATACTCTTGGCATCTTCCACTTCTCTCTCTATAGCCATGGCTGTCTCGCCTATCTCGTCAAAGTCGTGCAACCTGTGGCCAACAATCTTTCCACGGATGGATAGTTTTAGGCCATTTTCAAACCTCCGCACCTTGGCCAAATCAGCGGCCACGTAGTCATCCGCAAAACGTGTCAATTCTATGAACTTGGCCACATATTGCATAATCGTTATCGCTCCTTGCTTCAAGTTTAGAAATTCATGGGCTTTGACTTCCCAAACAGTTGGGGGGAAATATTTCTTCATGAAGAGCTCTTGAAACTCTCCCAATGTCATCCTCCCGATGTCTATCGGCTTTACCCATGTCCACCATTGATGAGCTTCTCCCTCAAACTGAAAAGTGGTCAATCGTATCTTCGTGGCATCAGATGCAATCTCAATTGCCTCCAAAATTTTGTCAACCTTTTGGAACCAATTGTCAGCTACCATCGGATCCCGTCCTCCTACAAAAGTTGGTGAGTTGGGGACCTAAACTTCTGGAGGTTGTTCGAGCCTCCTAGGCCCACATTAGAACTGACTTGCAAAAAGATGGCGGTCATCGCGCCCATAACCTCCTTAAAGGCTTGTTGATCAAAAATCGGTGGTGGTGGTTGGTTGTTCCGTTCACCTCGACGTCCCCTTCCTCTTGTTGCCATCTACACACACATAAGATAGCAATAGACCAATAACTTAGTATCCCAAAGTTAGGGATCAAAGTTAAAACATTAGAATATATACCTACCAGTAAATGCGCAAACAATAGGCTTACACATCCTTTTCCTTTCCGACTCTAAGGTTATGTTTTCTAACCATAGTGTCTCATTCCTATATATATTTAATCATGCATATAATCTCATAACACATAGCATAAAAAATTTAATACAATTAACATGCAATGCAAAATGGATGTAATGACTTAAACCCATGCCCCGTAAGCCCTAGGTAAATCGTGAACCTAGGCTCTGATACCAAGTTGTGACACCCCAAAATTCGGGTGGCGGTGATTATCTGATTGATCACCCATCGACTCGTGGAATACTTGTGGATATCGTGAAATTCGATACCACACTGTTATACCCCATTTCTCGGGATCCATAACTTAACAAAATTTGGGCAGAGTCTCCTTTGTACGAGGAATTCTACCCAAAACGTAACTTGTACAATATTGACCACACCAGGTCTATCCATCCATTCACAATTGTATAGTATCGAATACTACCATAATCATCATTAGTACATACATTTATTCGTAAAAGAATAAATGTCTCAAAAGAGTCCCATATACATGCCTTTGTAAATATAAACAAGTTTTTGTTACAAAAATTATACAAGGCCAAAAGTAAATATAAACAAGGGACTACAATGTGTCAAAATAAGAGCCATAGACTGGCTCTATCGTCAAAACGGGCCCATGGCCTCGCTTTCAGTGGATGCCTGTGCNATAAACAAGTTTTTGTTACAAAAATTATACAAGGCCAAAAGTAAATATAAACAAGGAACTACAATGTGTCAAAATAAGAGCCATAGACTGGCTCTATCGTCAAAACGGGCCCATGGCCTCGCTTTCGGTGGATGCCTGTTCGATACCTGAAAAATGTTCCCATAAAGGGTGAGCCAACGCTCATTAGGGTAACTTCTATAGTGAATACCTCTTAACCTAAATGCATATGGAATGCCACATGCAATAATCATTTGATGCATTAATTCAAATATGTCTATTATGATCAAATGTCATAAATCATGTCACGTCNTCTATAGTGAATACCTCTTAACCTAAATGCATATGGAATGCCACATGCAATAATCAGTTGATGCATTAATTCAAATATGTCTATTATGATCAAATGTCATAAATCATGTCACGCCATGAGATGAGACTCACGCAAACAACACAAATCCCGAGCCCCATCTTGAGTTCCCATAACACATGCAATGTCATGCGTATATTATCCGGGCATTTCAAGCCCCCATCATTGGTGTTATGTATACTCAATGACTAATTAATTCATTTTTTGGTGTCTTTGTAGGGAGGTGATTTATGGTATTACACCAATGGAACACCAACCATCAATGAATCTTCAGCAATCCCAACTGCGGCTTCGTTTTTGNTTCAAGCCCCCATCATTGGTGTTATGTACACTCAATGACTAATTAATTCATTTTTTGGTGTCTTTGTGGGGAGGTGATTTATGGTATTACACCAATGGAACACCAACCATTAACGAATCTTCAGCAATCCCACCTGCGGCTTCGTTTTTGCCGTTACACTTTTCTGGAATTTCACCGCCGAAAAGTGTATAAACCAAGTAAGCGGGTCTTGCACCCGAGGGAGAATCAAGCCCTTCTTGCTGTCCCCAATANAACACCAACCATTAACGAATCTTCAGCAATCCCACCTGCGGCTTCGTTTTTGCCGTTACACTTTTCTGGAATTTCACCGCCGGAAAGTGTATAAACCAAGTAAGCGGGTCTTGCACCCGAGGGAGAATCAAGCCCTTCTTGCTGTCCCCAATACATTTATCCATTTAATTTTCCCTGTGACTCAGTCGAACCTTGGTGTGACTTTTTCGAGCCCACGATCAACCACCTATGTGGTGATTGATTTCATACCATGCATACACTCTCACCCATGTCAATGTCCATGAATGTAGTGCAACTCATGCATAATGCAATACAATGTCCATTACATAATGAATACAATATAATGACATTTTAACACGATCTCAATCATGTTATGTAAGATAATCAACTCAACTAACATACTTGTATTCACCTAGGCATTTAATCAAACACCTAAAGAGCACATCAATTTACACAACTAGCATGCTATGACTTTCAATGTGGCAACATATTTATTAATTATATAAATATAAGCGAAAGTCCACTAAAATAATCATATGTTAAATAATCTTTTAACATATATATTATTTTATAATCACATAATAAGCTAATAATTTTANTAACATTAACTTACACCAAGTTAATCACAATAGAATTTTATTAATCACAAGATTATTTATAAATTCTATATTTGACCCACTAGTCACATTNACTTGATCTGCCATTAAAATATAAAGTAATGCTAACATACAATTAACATGCTTTAAACTACTAACATTAACTTACACCAAGTTAATCACAATAGAATTTTATTAATCACAAGATTATTTATAAATTCTATATTTGACCCACTAGTCACATTAGTCAAGACCTAACATGTGATATACACTCATAATCTACTCATTTCATATGCCATATTTTAAGTTGAAATTAAATCTAAATGGGGGAAACTCTACCTCTCGTAGCGTGAGACCACTTACTAGAACGCTAAGGAAGCCCAAATTTAGCTTTTTAAGATTTAGGCCTAGATTGTCGGGTTTGATATTCCTTTGGAGAAAAATACGATATTTGGTGTGGTTGCGTAGCTCTCGCTGAGTAGAACAACTTTAGTTCTTGGCCCGAAACGGTTAAATTTTCGTAGATCTGAGAAGGAAGAAAAGAGAAAAAAAATAAAAACTCATTTTTTTTTCTCACTCACTCTGTCTCGCCGGCTAGAGAAGAAAATAAAAAGTGGAAGACAAAGTCTTCCACTTATATATATATATATATATTATTTTTTTTTGAAATTTACGTTTTTGACCCATAATTTAACAATTAATTATTATTTTACCCCTTTTATTAGGATTTTTAATAATAATAATAATTTTTTTTTCGGATTTTACATTCTCTCCCCTTAAGGGAATTTCGTCCTCAAAATTATACCCACATGCACATATAACGACATGCATATGTAAAAAGTCATTAAATACTCTATGACTGTAAGAGATATACCTCCATTCTCGAACAAAAACGGATAGGTAGTTCAGATAGTGTCTTCACGTTCCCATGTCTCCTCCTCCACCCCACGGTGTTGCCACAGCACCTTTACCAGCCTCACAGTCTTGACTCGCAAAACCTGTTCTCGGCTGTCCATGATACGCACTGGTCCCTCCTCAAAGGTTCCATCCGCATCAACCACTAGCTCACCCCAATCCACCACGTGTGTAGTATCTGGAGTGTACTTTCGGAGCATAGAAACATGGAACACCGCGTGAACACCAGATAGATTTGGCGGTAATGCCAACCGATAGGCAACTGTACCAACCCTCTCAAGTATTTCAAAGGGCCCGATATACCTCGACGACAGCTTTTTCCGCTTTTCGAACCTGACCACTCCCCTCTTAGGCATCACCTTTAAGAAGACATAATCTCCGACCTCGAACTCCAGAGGTCGTCGCCGTCTGTCGGCTTAACTCTTCTGCCGGCTCTGATCCGTGATAAGACGTTTTTGTATCAAGTCCACCTTCTCTGAAGTGTCTCTAATCAAATCCAGACTCGTGGAGGGTCTCTCTCCAACCTCGGTCTAGCAAATCAGAGAACGACACGACCTCCCATAAAGTGCCTCATAAAGTGCCATCTGTATACTCACCTGATAACTGTTGTTATAGGCGAACTCTACTAATGGTAAATGCTCCTCCCAGCCACCCTTGAAATCAAGGACGCATGCCCGTAGCATGTCCTCTAAGGTCTGGATAGTCCTCTCTGACTGACCGTCCGTCTGGGGATGAAAAGCGGTACTCATCATCAACTGTGTNCGTAGCATGTCCTCTAAGGTCTGGATAGTCCTCTCTGACTGACCGTCCGTCTGGGGATGAAAAGCGGTACTCATCATCAACTGTGTTCCCATAGCCTGCTGAAAACTCTCCCAAAAATAGGCCGTGAACCTAGGGTCCCGATCGGATACTATAGATACGGGCACCCCATGTAATCNATCGAACAACTTGATTCACCCAATTGACGTATTTACGCCTTTCAATCTCAAGAAAATCCCTATCATTATGATTCCTGTCAATCTTTACTAATGCTTCCTTAGCATCAAAGTCGAGACGTGTGATAGATTCCCAGACGTATCTCCATCTCCTTGAAAGGATACTGGTAACTGCTGCTTCCTTGACACTCAATAAGGATAGTATAAGAATGAGAACTTCATCGGGTAACAGACTAATCCAATCCTCGAAATTATGGTCATCCTGGTCCCAAAAAAAGTTGATGGAGATGGAGAACTTAGTAAATGATGAATTAATTTAGCACATCATCTCAAATTAACAAACAATGTAGAAAAAAATTATAACTTTAAATAAAAAGTTGATGGAGATTGGAGATGGAGAACTTAGTAAATGATGAATTAATTTAGCACATCACCTCAAATTAACAAACAATGGAGAAAAAATTACAACTTTAAATCATAAATCATTAATATACCGACCAAGTTAGCCTAGTTCATTGCAGTAGTAAATTGAACTTCAAACCCATCCAACAATTCAATAATACAATAGCTAGACCAACAATTCAATTGCCCAGCAAGTAGTATAACACACCAAGAAGTGAACTTTTCAGTTAGAAAAAAGAAACAGAGCAAATTTAAATAAAAAAATTACCTTATTTTGCACTTGTCGTGGGACATGTCGAATCTTTTTCCCCATTGATAAACAGTCCACAAATAAATAAAAAATAAATATCTCTGCTAGCAATAGCAACAAATTAATACTTTGTAAGTTTGTTTTACCAAAAATAAAAAAAAAAGATGGAGCTTATGAAGAAACATCAAAGTGGCAGATAGAAAGAGTACCTTGTTTCAATGAGAATAGATTAAATTCGCTGATGAACTACAAAATTTCACCGTACAATAATTATAGAGATGACAATAGGCACGCCTTGGTCCTCCTGCTCTTGTGTAATACATTACCTAAGGAGCATACCTATATTCAGTGTCAACAGCGATTGAACAGCATTGAGTCAAAGAAAGACAGATACACAACGCCACACACAGATATACAGATACATAAATATATATAAGAGAGAGGGAGAGAGAGCATAGATATTTTGATATGTAAATATAATCAGAATACCCGCCGAGAAGAAGAACGAAAAAGATGCTTCCTTGCCCTAGCCCTTGTGAAGAACAATGAAAAAGGACGCCCCTTTGCATTTAAGATGCAATACCCTTGTGGTTGGTAGCACCCTTAAATATTTTTTCCACCCCTTAAATCTCTTTTTTCACCAAATTTAACTATTTTATTTTAAATTATTAAATTCATCGCATTTATTTTCACCCCATTAGTTATTAAGTTCACCTTATTTATACTCATTTAATTAAATTATTAATATATATCAAAAAAAACAAAACAAAATTTCAATATTACGAGGTAATCTATATTATTTTGATATATTTTTCACTAATGTATTTGAAATATTTTGGTATATTTTGATTAATATTTTAAAAATAATTATTAATGNACCGAAATAATACACCAAAATAAAATTTTGATTGTTATCTACATAGTAGGTTGAATTAAAATTGAATGAATTTATTTTTTAATTAGTGAATATAGATGGGGTGGGTTTAGTAATTAATAAGGTGAGTATAGATTGANCTTATGAAATATTTTTGCACCGAAATAATACACCAAAATAAAATTTTGATTGTTATCTACATAGTAGGTTGAAATAAAATTGAATGAATTTATTTTTTAATTAGTGAATATAGATGGAGTGGGTTTAGTAATTAATAAGGTGAGTATAGATTAAATAAATTTAGTAGTTTAAAGTAAGAAGAGTAAATGAGGTGGAAAATAAAATTTAACGGTTATCTTTTTTTGGTTAAACTTGGGGTAACCCGTGTTCAAATGTGCGATACAACGTAAGTGAGAAATAATAAATTTTGGGAGAAAGGGAGAAATTCAATGTAAATGAATTTAAACGTTAGATGAGTATATTTAAGATGGTCGGATAAACTAATTGAAGTTTGTTATGTTTTATATTATAGGTATAGATAAGGGTTAATTTCATATTGCACCCCAAANAATGACTGCTTAATTTTGAATTGCTAGCATAAGGAGTGTGTTACCTATGACTCATGAGATATGATTTTATGTCATATTTGACAATTTGACACTTAGCCTTATTTCTTGAAATTTTACTATCCGTAGAAACAATGATTGAGCCTTTTTGAATAAATTTTGATTCTCAAACCACTTATAATAACCGAACCAAGCATACATATGATATCCTTTACCATTGGTTATCCCAAGATTGATCTATTTTAGTTTATATTTATGGGTGTATGCAGTGAATGAAATGAAGGCAATGAAAAATATATACAAGAAAGTGTTTAAAATCATGCTTATAAGGGTGGACGAGAAAGTATATGTCAATAAACATTGGTCGGGGTAATGTTTTGAATTCTTATTACATTTCGTTTCAAAACCCCAAGACCCAAGACCACATTATAACCTTACGTAAAGACCTAATTGATCTTAGTAGTGTTTTGGTAGNACCCAAGACCACATTATAACCTTACGTAAAGACCTAATTGATCTTAGTAGTGTTTTGGTAGATACATGACTTGTGTGAATAAGGAAGAAAATAGTGGTTATTTTGTATTTCATGTGTTGATTTCGGTTCATGAGACTATGTTAGTTACCTTTTCCTTGTTATAGTGTCCACTGTTTGCAAAACATATGTGAGTTGAACTTTGCTTTGATTTTGTATTAACTCTACTCATATATGGTATGATGAGGGGAAAGTAGTCAACATATTCTGAGTGAATTTATTGTTGAGAGTAGAACTTGAGTAAGGATTGATTCAAAGTTGGCCGTGGATAGTAGAGAGGTAGGGTGTTTCTGACTAATTTTCTAATTTGTGAGGTTATTTGCACACTATATACTAGTTTTAGCAGGAAGTCAATATGTGGATACTATTATGTAGCCTTTAATTTTATGATTTGACTTGGTATACACTTTTTCATGTTTTCGTTTGATCTAGTTGCTTGATTATTGGTTGGATTATAAATTCAAGTTGTAGATAGATTAATGGAAGTTTGTAGCTATCTTCTCTAAAAACCTTCACGAGATTATACTTATCCATTAGAGGGAACTTAGGGATTTAAAGACTTGTTGCATATGCTAAATGCAATCATGAGTCCTACGAAAGTGGATTTGTATTTTATTTTATTATGTTTTAATTATAGGATTTTGATATTGGTAGGGACTAGTAATATATAAGTTGGGGGGGGTGTGTGATTCGTCATTAAAAGTAGCATTTCTTTATCTATTATGTGGCGAATTATTTTAGAGCTATTAAATGAATTATCCATTGATATTATGTTTTGACTGGATATTTATTATTTGATTAAAGTATCATGTAAAAACAGGTAAAATGAGCTCAATCAGTGTACTTGATAAATTGACCATTCGATTGGAGATTAAAGTGAATTCAAGAGGATCTGAGGTGTACATTCCTGGATAGATCGGTGCGTTTGGACACAACTCTTCAATCTAGACGCAATGATGGGCATTCCTTAGAATTGGAGATGAACTAACTTTGACGACACAAACTACTTTCATTCAAACGCAACTATGAAGATACAAATTCCAAAGAATTGAAGTTTTTCGGATGTGGGAATGCGTGTGGACAATGAACGACGATACGAAGTGCTTCTGTTTGGATGCCATATTTCCATTTGGATGCATGTATTGATCAAATCCAAGACGTAGAATATTAACTTCTCCGTCCATATGCGGCTTGTTCATTCGGACGCACCTTTTGGGTTTTGCGCCATGATGCTTTGACCTAGTGGGATGTTTATTGTATATCAATCCCTGAAATACCCTATGTATCCTTCCCTTATAAATGTGGGAGAGGAAAGCATTAGTGGGATCTAGTCCTTATTTATTTTACCAGCCTTTTGGGAAGAATACTTATGTCTTGTGAGTAGTTCTTCTTTTACTCTTTAGTTAGGGTAGGGTTTTGGAATTGTACATTAAAATTTTATTTATCCAATTAATCTTCATTATTCTTAAATGATTTATTCTTTGTTGTCCTATGGATTGAATGGATTATTTTTATCAAAGTATGATACTCTTTATACTTATTTGATTGCTCATTAACTAGATTGGTTTCCTGGTATGAGTGATTCTTATAATTCCATGCGAGTTTACAAAACTAGTTCTTAAATTCCATGTCAATCAACTTTTGGTTTTCAAATTTAGATATTCTGATTGATTACACTAGCATTGGAAGTCAACTATGATAAAATATAATTGCATAGGTACAATATTTGGTGTGCATGAACAAAACTCGATCCCGAAACTAGTGTGTAGTCTTTTCCCATAAGAAATTTCCTTCGGTCTATCATAATTAATTACCTTGAACAACCTGAACATTGGTCTTCCTTTTTATCTTCTTGTAATCTATTCAATCCCTGAGGATCGACCTCAGACCTATGGAATTGTTGCTACACTTGACCACCTACATTTGGGTTCACCGATTCCGAAGTCAAGCAAGTTTTTGGCAGTGATGCATTCTTGGTATTTTCTCTCAATGCCCTCTACATCTCTGACATGATTATGGTGGATAGATAAATGGGCTGGTTAATTCCCAGGGCATACAACAACTTTGCCCTCCCAAGGAACACATGATTCTTCCTGCTAAATGGTAGACAAGACCTTATATGTGTTAGTCAATTGGTCCTACTTAAGCATCTTGGCCTTCTACCACCACACAAAATCTGGTTTACCTGTCAGCTCCCTAGCAACAACTTGTAGATCCATCATTGTATTAAAAGTAAATTGTGGCCTAGCAACTACATTTATCTTTGCCACCTTAAAAATTACAGATGAATCTACCACAAACCATTGTCCTCTCACAAAAGTAATTAACCTTTTAGAGTCAATCCTATCAACATTAAAATAAAACTCCTTGATCAAAGGAATTGCACCCTTCCCAATGAATTTCATAAAATCAACCCAACCTCTATTTTGAATAATACCAGCAATCCCATGCAACTCAAAGTCATGCAACAATATTGTTTTTTCCATGACAATAGACCTATTAATGAAAAAATTATCACGCCGGATGCTTTTCTCCATGGATGAAAAGAGAATAGGATCAAAGTAGTGCCTAAATCCATATTCATCAATTACTACTCCCAGTTCTTAGGCACTGGATTTTGACCTTTGGGTGAAAGTTAAATTGGATGGCATGGCTAAAAGTTGAAGGTTTGGATGAAATTAGAGTAAATCTCCTCACATAAAGAGTACAAAGAGTAGATCAGGGACTTTGAAGAGTACTTTTGGGGTTTTGGCAAATTTTGGGAGTGATTTGATGATGTTTGATGAAGATATAAGAAGAAAAAAGATTGTTTCAACTATTTTAGGAGAAGAGAGGGTTGTAGATGGCTTGGAGAAGACAAACCCATCTTTGTGTAGATAAATAGGTGCGTTGGACTGTGGCCTTGCTTTAGGATGCAACCTTTAATTAAAAGCAATGCTATTGGGACCTAATTTGTTGACCTAATTTACTATGACTTTGGATTAATTGTGGGCTCCATCAAACATTGGAATTTGGTGTTTATCCAATGGTTCCAATGAAGCCACGTCATTAGGTCAGCAAATTATGTCAAATGTTTAGGTCCAAATACCAT